TGGAAGCTTCAACATACTTGAAAGTGAAAAAAGCGGTCATTATTGAGATTGAACTGCAGGATCCACTCCGGACCCCATACAATTTCCTCTTTCTTTTTTCACAAAACGAATTCCAGCTTGCCCTCCGGAGACCTGCAGCCGAAATCTGATTCGAGTTCACATTATAAAAATTGAGTTTTATCTCTTTTTCCTGCTTTCTCTTTATTCTCTTAGAAACGATTGTATTGAGATGTGAATATGTTAATGTTTTCGAGATTTAGCGTATCCCTCTTAGCGGGATAATTACGAAAGCCGATTAAGCTCCTGCTGTCGAGGTAACCTCAACACCTCCTATACGTATTCCAATCGATTTTCGATAACTTTTTGTGCTGAAAGTTTTTGGAACTCTCGTCATTCTAGTAAAAATCTCTAAATAGTCATTAAGGATGTGATGCCTCTTGCCATTGAGCAGAGGCCCCTTATTGGGTGCTGATGTGATCGTTTGGCGGGCGTGAGAAAGCTGCGTGCAAGCTTCGCTTGAACCTCATGTATATTGCATTGACTAATGTTGGTACACCTAGGAGAAATTGAGACATATTTTCCGATAGTGTTCTCGCAAATTAGTTTTGAAATTTAACCACCATAAAAATTTTTAAAAAAATTAATTGTTACTCTCTCTTCGAACGCGAATCAAAGAACAAAAATATGTAATGATCCGATACAAGATCCCAATTCATCAATTGGTTAAGTTTTCACACACAGTTTTCTGAATGATTCAATCCAATTTTCAACTCAACACCAACCATAGGTTCGCTACTCACAAAAGTAACTAAGGAGCCTTGCAAAAAGTGATGGTGGTTTTTGACCTACTACAGTAGCTGAAGTGGAAATAAATTTTCTTGATTAAACAACAATCAGTGGAAACACTGTTTTTCTTCCAAATAGTAGTCAATGGAAAATGTTGCAGAAATACATAACCCATTCTTCAAACGTTCTTCATTCATTTTCTTCGTCTCCTTTCCTTTTCGTACATAGAACTGTAACAAATTGAGGATCTAGAGTCGTCTTTATACATAAAGTAAAATTGCGAACAATATTGGCATGATTTAACATGTTTCAACGTGTTTTAGGCCACTCTTATATCCTAGAGAATCATTTAAGTTTTGGACTTTTGCGCGTTAGTTGCACGAATTTTTCTTTTTGGGACCAACCAAAAAGTGGAAAACGGGAGAAACGTGGGGAAAAGCACCTTCAGAAAGTCATAAAAAGAAATACGGGTTTTTCGGTGCGTTCTTTGAAATAGTTCGCTGGATATTTGAAATTGAAATTTGCGCAGTTGTCGGCTTCATTATGGATAATATTTCCTGTCGAATGAGCAAAAAAACGGACTTAAAAACTTATATTTGACTTAGAAATCGAAGAAAATAGAAAAAACACGGTTATTCTTATTTCATTCACTCAGACCAAAAAATGGAATGTTGCGCAGTTGTCTATTCAAATGTACGTTTCAAGACCTTCATAATGAAATACGATTTGCTTACATTAATTGCCTAAGAACTGAGAAAAGGGCACCAAAGTCAAATGCCCCGTGAAAGAGCTTGGTTGTGTAGAGAATGTGCAATGAGAGGCGGCAGAGAACGACCAAAGCGGACGGGGCATTTGGCTCTGGTGGCTTATCTCTGCTCCCAAATGAAATCCCCAACATCCATATATCATTTTGCTCAGAACCGTATGGAAAATCCAGCTGACAACTGCGCAACTTTCATAAGTTCCACCATAAAGAGTTATTCTCTATATTCTCTTGTTTTCTCATCAAAGGCTAATTGACATACATGCTTCTATAGTTTAATTCTATATTATAATAACTATTACTACCTGCCTTTCAAAGTTCTAAGACACATCAACTACTTTGAAAGAAACAGTTAAGAGTCGGAAAAGCACCTACTCCTTACAATTTGCGGCTTTTCAACTCCAACTTCTACCTTCAAAAATCTTTTCGTTTTTGATGGCAAGAACCTCTCATCATTGTCCCCAAAATCCACAGTTCTTATGTACTACAACATCTTAATCTTATTTCGTTAACAATAAAGTAAACATTTTCTCCCTCTATTGGTCTTATGGTATTTTCAAACTTTTAGAGAAAGTTGACTTACTCAAACTCTCTTAGGTGAGGGTCCTACTCTTTCTTCGCTCAATAGTGAAGGTGACCAGAGCCGTGGCTCTATGTATCTAACCTATGACACCAACGAAAAATGGTTTTAACCTTTCTAAGGACATTCCGACTGAAAGAGCACCATTTCTAATTTTTCATAGGGTTTTCACATTTACACAGTGTAAATTATTTCATATATAATTTTTAATCTGCTAATGCTCATTGATCATAACGTCGCATGTTTATTTTTTTGATAGTGTTCTCACAAAATAGAATTTTTGAATTCTTCATGATCACCTCAAAAAAAAGAACATGACTTTGCAATTTTGCTCTAAAGCAGCTGATTCACTAAATGTTTGACCAAACGATCACAAGTTCTGTTAAAGTTGAATTTTCACTGATTAAGTTTCACACCGATTCTCACCTCATAAATCATTTATATGATGTTGTGGCAATATCTTAAACACATGTCTAGGAGGTGTTCAGGTCACTTTCACAGCAGGAGCCCAATCGGCTCTCGTCATCCTACAGGAGAAATATGCCAAAAGAGATTCAACAGACTCCATGTAGTGTATTCGATACTAGAAGTAGAAATTAAGCAAATTGGATATAAAGCTCAACTGATTTTCATTTTAAAAAAACCGAATTTTGAATAAAAAAATTCTGATACAGAAAGTCGAGACCTATGGAACGGAGATGCGCATGTGAGAATGGTTACTCTGTTGCTTTGAAATTAAAGTATTTGTGCTTTATTGAGCTTAATAGATAGAACTCCGCAAGTTTTTTTCTTTCAAAAATCAACAATCAAAGAAATATATTGTCAGCATCAAATGTCTACGCAATGATTTTATTCATATCGCAGTTCAAAGTGAGATTCTTCAAAACATCTTACCGGAACTGAAAATTCTATAAGGAGTGTGCGTATTATTTTATGATATTAGATTAAATTCAGAACCCATAAATAAGTATGGGCTTATAAAACTTAAATACATAGTTAGATTTCCATCTTAAAGTTCTGTCCTAGAAATTGCTTTAAGTTCTGAAGTTGGCGCTTGGAGAGAATATTTGAGGATATTTATAGAGGAGACTCGCTTCGGCTTCAGAGCTGTCGGCAGCGAAGTTGGCACCAGCTATTCATGACATCACATGAACCCCAAAATTTGGAGGAACTCAGATTTTCAATAACACACCTAGATAGACTGGAAGACGCTAGTTTTAATTCAAACTAAGTTCGACTGGAGATTTGAGCCGGGTCATAGCAATCCGGCCCTTCCGACGTGACATTGCGTCTTTTACAGCAAATTAATTTGCTGTCAGAATCAGGCTGTCTTAAACTAGAATCATCTTCTTCAATCGTTGTCCAAACTCGATGCCCACCTATGCGTTGGCCCATAATCAAACATTTTGAACATCCTTGTGCAGAATTCCAGCGGGGGATGCCAAAAAGCGCATTTTGAGCCTCAAATGTACGGAATGACATATCAGCAATTCCTCTGTTTACATTAACTTCTATGGACCAGCAATATCCATCTATCTCAATCTCAATAGGCTCCGTTTTCAAGGCATTCAGTTCGGACTCCAGTCTTAATCTCTATTTTTCCAAAAAGATATTGAAATGAGCGGTTCTGACCTAGCGAATAGTGTTTCCAACATCCTTGCTGAAGGCTTTTTCAAAGAGTAGATGATGCCACAGAGTATAGAATTCAAGTATTTGTCGGCTTCTTCTTTTGGCAAGTCATCAACGCGCAGATAAAGAAGCCACATCTCACGCCTATAGTCACTTTTACTAAACAACCCTGTCCAGAAATCTAATCAGTACCTCGAGATTCGTTTTGGAACAAATCCGTCGATTGATAGTGACAGTAGAATCTTCATGCGTCCTCTTCTGAAGTCCTCAGCACTTTCTATACTTTTATAAAAACCATCAAAGTATCGGATATCGCTGCGATCATGTGCAGGGCTTCCCTGCAGGAGATTTGTTTAGAACACTAATCAATAAGAAACAACGAAGTCTATAGTTACTCCATTCTCGTGCAGAAGGCGATGAATGGCAATAATTTGCTTAATCTCTCTTAGAATGACATCTGATAGCTGAGGAATCATGTTGAGCACGTGGACTTCAGTCCATTGTACTCCCTTCGCACGTTTTAAACGCATTCTAAACTTGGCAATTCAACTTAGATTGATTTTGTTAAGCACTACACAAACCGATAAAGAACACATTCGGTCTTCTCACACATATCCCTCCACTCATTTATTAATCCCTCACAGGAGCTGCAGAAGTAGCTTCTCTTATGATTATACTGCTCTAATTCTGTTGTGCAGAGAGGAATTACATGCTGCTTATACTAAATTGTAAACTTAAAGTTTTATAAGATTGCAATGTAAGCCTTCACGCCGTTATAGGAGGCGGCGATCCATACAAAACACTCATCAGTTCTTCCATTCGCTTTACCTCCTCCTTAGA